CTCCTCAGGCCCAGGCCCAAAGTGGAGCCTTCCTTGCTGGTCCACCTTTAGTTACCACCATGCCCATTCACAAAACTTGGGTCTCCATCTCCTCTTTTCTTATACTTTTCTTCTGTGCCTGAAATGTTCCCTTGCTCCTTCCCTGATGATGTCATCATAGTTACTCTTCAAAGTTCAGGTCAAATGTCACCTCCTCCTCCATGAAGCCTAGAGACCCCTCTCTCATTATCTCATAATACCATATCATGTCTATTTTTCTGTAACCCTCTGTCTTTAGCATAATTGCCATCAAGGACAGAGTTGCATCTTGATTATCTGAATATCCCAAGAGTTTAGGTGAATGCTTGGCATGTAGCAAGTGCCCATTAAGGTTTTAGGAATATAAATAATGAAGAATCAAATATTGACCAGCATTGACTCTTATTGGTTCCAATTTTACTTTTTAAGATTCAGAAGTTAGCTCCGACAGTACACACACACGCTTTACAGTCAGTGGGTATTTTACGTGACACCCTCTTTCACACTTTGGAGTCTTTTAAAAGATTCAGAACACATCCCCTCTCAACTGTTTTCTATCCAGACGGTTCTAATCTTTCTGATTCATTTTCATATATTGCAGCCTGTTGATAATTTTAGTTGCTTTCTCTGGAGTTTTGCAGTGTTGCTTCATTGTTTATAAAAATGAGGACAGGTTAGGGTGCATGAGCTGAATCCATGATTCCATGGGGAAGATTTAAGGGGGCAGCCATGTTTTCTGTCTTATGTCTTCTTGCCTCTTGTGGCCATAGGGTATCTTCAGGGAATAGGAACTATTGTCTTCTGGATCCCCTTATCAAGTTCTTGTGATCACTTCTATCCCAGTGCCTTTTAACTATACATGGATAGTTAAAAGTAATTGCCTTATTGTTGATTATGTTGAAATGTGCCTCCACTTTCTGACCTCACTTTGGTTTCTTCCAATCGTGCTCCAAAATGTATCATGTAATAATTCTCCATATGAAGAAATTTTCCATTATCTGCAAACTCAGAGATTTAACTGGATATTTCCTCTTTTACTTCATTTAGCTAAAATTTTAAATAAGAATGTTAAAGAGACTAATATCTTGGTGATCCTACTATTAACATTCCATAACAGAATACCCATTTATTTCAGTCCTTTCATTTCTGGATTCATGCCAGTTTCCTAGCTTTGAAGAAGAAAAATTTTCTTTAGCTCTGTAATGTTTGTAGAAAGGAAAAAAAAAAGTCATTTAGTGTATAATTTAGTCAGAGGCCTTTTGAAAGTAGAAATAATTGCAACCTCTTAATCCTATTTTACTAAGTCCTAATTTATTCTTTTAGAAACACCATAAGAATCAGGTAGCTGGGCCAAACTGAATCAAGAATAGATCTAGCTACAAGAAGTAGCCAAAAATACATTGATCAGTAGGAAGTTCAGAAAAAAAGAAGAAAAAGGACAGGAGAAGACAGGGCAGCGAGGTCTAGTGTTTGTAGGAATAGAGATGGGGAATGGAGTTGACTAGAGACAAATAAGGTAGATAAATGTCCCAAGAAGACAAGTGTGCATGGGACCAAGTATGATGGGATTGGACAGCCAAAGGACAGGAAATAGACGCAGGTGGTAGGAAGAATGCTCCTTCAATAGTGGTTACTTGTAAGAGCTAGGACTTCATTTTTCAAAGCTTGCATCTGCCTTAGGCACATAGATTTCTAAGGTTGACTTCTGAAAGTATGGATTTCTTAAGTATGGTTCTTCCTCTGATGAAACTGCTATTGTATTTTAAATTTGCTTCATTCACTGTTGAGTGATTCCACCTTTTATTATCCAACCAATATACTAGATACCTATAATTTATAGGTCTTTGCAGAGAACAAAAGGAAAAGAGAGAATGAAGTTCTTTCCTGTCCTTAAGGCTTTCACATTCTAGCGGGGTAGATAAGTCTAAAACAGAGTAAATACCAAAGGAAAGGCCTAAAAATATTCTGTGTTTTGGCATTTCTGTTTAGAAACTCCTTCCCATTATTACCATTTCTGGCTGCCAGTGTGTGGTTTTACTTTTTCTACCAGCTCAAATGGCACCTGTTCTCTGCCCTCTGTAGCCTTTTGTGTAGACCTCCCTTGTGGCCTGCTATGTCCTGGGCATTTACAAGGATTCTGACTTCCATTCATCTTCAATATTTCTGAACAGTTCTAATTTTATGTAATTGTATGTGTATGTGTGTGTGTGTGTGTGTGTGTGTGTGTGTGTATGTGTGTGTGCATATATATCAATTTTATTATAAGATTTACGAGGAACAAAAATTTATTAAGAACCATCTCTCCTATCCCAGAAACTGGGATAAAGGACTGAGAAGAGCAGGGCAGGGGAGATTCTCTCAGGTAAAACATCTCTACTGTTTCTTCCTGGTGGGGTGGTGAGGCCCCTTCATTTCCAGGTGGCTCTGGGTATCCTCATGACTGGAATCCAGGTGGAGAAGTCCTTGGTGGGTTGCACAGCTCCCTCCATCAGCTGTTCCACATAAGTGAGGCCCTGTGTGATCTGTTGATTTGCCTTTCAATTTTGCCTGTGTCTCACTTGTTCACTTTTATTGAAGTCACTTTGTTTCTCTTTCCAGAAATGAAAGGAGGGAAAATATGTCTGCCCTCCTTTCATTTTGGCTAATTCATTTCTGAACCCAGTGCCTTTTTTTTTTTTTTTGCACCAACATACAACAACATATTCAGAGAATACAGATGACAATCCTCCTGGTCATCCCCTTCCAGTCCTTGCTGTTGTTACAGGGACAGGCTGCCATCCCACTATGGAGTTGCTTGGTGGAGAGGGAGTTTTATTCTGATATACCTTGGGAGGACTTGGGGTTCTCTGCTTTCCATCTGCTCCAGCTCTTCCAGAGACCAGGCAGTGGAGGTAGGAGGCTGCAAAGACATGCTGGGGGCTATTCTGGGAGCAGGGGGGGCGTCCTTCCTTGCAGACTTCACAGGGAAATGAGAGGCAGACTGACTCTTCTGCGGCCCTTCTGCCAAAGCTGCTTATCCTCCAAAGGCAGCTGAAGCTCATGGGGCAAAAAAGTGAAGGTATGAAGGGCAGGTTCTCTGGCATTCCTCTTTGAGTAGAGTGTGAGACTGGAAGAATCGGAGGAGGATGAGCAAGGACAACCTTCAGATGCACAGACTTAACCTAGACTGTGCAGACTATCTCCTGGGTTTTTCTGGTGCTGAAACATCATATATGTAGTCATCACCTCATCAAGTTTTCTGGTTATCAAAGATACCTAGGTACTGTTTGGTCTATAATCCATGTCAAATATGAGCTTCATTATTGAGGGGTCTGGATGATTGGGGAGTGGCTTGCTAGAATGAGTTGAATACTTTTCCTGATTCAGCCATGTACCCCATGATTTGGTCTACCATGTGTGCCTGCATGGGGTAAATGATCAAATAGTTGACTGATAATGCTTTCCACTTTGTAAGAAATATGCCAGAGAATGTCATACCTTACTCCTTCATCTGCATGAATTGAATGGGAATCACCCTGTGACCAGGAAGTACAGAAGGACACTTAGGCTCCAGACATCTACCATGGAACTTTCATATTCTTCTGACCAATAGAGTTCTGGGGCACAGTATGGGAGAGTGCCACAGATTGAGTCCAGTTTCTGCCCAGTTGTAAACCTGCCACCCAGGACAAAATTTGCAGAGTTTGATGTTTCTTCAGTATCTTCCAGGACAGTTCTTGGGCTTCAGGTCTCTATGTACAATGCCCTTCTCATATCAGTAGTGCACAGTGCATGTGCTCTACCTGAACACCCTGTAGGCCTCCTCCTTCTATATGCCAGTCAACTCTGGGGTGTGATGCCACAGCTGTCCCCCATTCGTAGCCTCCATCACAAGGTAGACTCTTTCAGTGATATCAGCAACATGAAGAGTTGGATCACATTTGGGTTTTCAATCTTCATTTTATCCACTTGGGATATGAGTTCAGCTCTACCTTTTGCAGTACTTTCCTGGCCACCTCTATCCCCATGAGGATATGGTAGGCCAGTTTCAGCAGGGCAAAGTCGCCCTCCTACTGTCCCTCACAACCTTATGATGGCAGCTGAGGGAATCCTTAAAGGAAGAGCTCACCAAGAGGCCCTGCCACACTTTTGTAGCCTTGCTGCTCTGACGACTCTTACTACGCATTCTTTGGGGCAACATGACTAATGATGTTAGCCAAAAATAAATAAATAAATAAACGAGATAAAAGACAAATAACCACTATGACAACAGCAATGAAAACCCCAAATCAAAAACCAATATCAAGAAACCCAACCAGAATGACCAAACCACCCACAAGCCAATTGTGCATTCAATGGGTCACCACCAAGAGCTCCCTGAGCTTATGGACAAAAAAAAAAAGAAAAAAAAAAGTCATACCCAGGACTTTATATAAGTGGTGTTTGAAATTCCCTCACATTGGCTTCTTGTGAAATCAGAGCAACAAATGGCTTAGTCACAGCCTGGTGGAACTCACAGTGGTTGTCTCACATTTTGGCCTTCAGGTCATTTCTACTTTAATAATAAGAAAGGCTCCAGAAGCTTTCTGCTTCAATGGTTTATGGAGACTGATATTTACTTATTTAGAAATTAAAACCTGTAGGATGCTTCAATGGGCTTTTCATTTTGAGCCTGAAAATCTATAATAACTTTTGGTTTTTAAGGAACTCATCATATCTACACTCAAGCTATTCAATTCCTTTTCCTTTCAACTCGGAATGACTTGTGTCAAAAGGATGGTAGCCCTTTACACATATTGTGACACTATAATGAAATCTCTGTTCCCCAGGACATCACTGGGCATGTTATTAATATCGATGGGGCTGAGAGGAAGGGAACTTTCCTGATAATTTTCTCATAAGGTCCTTATCAGTTTTCTCATCAAATACCCTGGAACATGGAAGGCAGTGGGTTGATGTACTCGAAGTGATAAAGGACAAACCTGTCAGCCAAGAATCCTGCGGCCAGCAAAGTGTCCTAGGAGAGACAAATGGCGGCATTCCCAGATGTAGCTGTCCCTTCATGCTACTGTATTAAAATGCTTTAGACTGGATGATTTTATTAACAACAGAAATTGACTTCTTCTCACAGTTCTGACAAGTCCAAGGTCAAAGTGTCAGAAGATTTTGTGTATGGGGAAGACTTGCTTTCTCCTTCTAACATGGTGCCAGATTCACATATCCTCTTATGGTGAAAGGGAAGAAGGATTGAACTCATTCTTTCAAGCCACTTCCCCCTTTCCTTCCTTTCTATCTTTCTTTTTTATGTACAAGCGATTGACACCAGCATATCACACATGCTAGACAAATACTCTACCACTCAGCTACATCCCCACCCCTTTTTGTTTTATTTTGACAGATGAACTCGCTACATTTACATAGGCTGGCCTGGCCTTGAACTTGTGATTCTCTTTCCTCAGTCTCACAGTAGCAAGGATATATAGGTATGTATCACTATGCCCAGCATAATAAATGTACTGTGGGTGTGTGTGTTGCTGAGGATGGAACCAGGGACTTGTGCATGCTAAAAAGGGCTGTTCTATAAAAGCACACATCCTATCCAGGAAGTCAGAGTTTCATGGTCTAACCATCTCCCAGAGGCCCTACCTGTCAATACTGTTGCATTGGTATTGAAGTTTCAACAGGAATTTTGGGGGGACACATGCATGCAAACCACAACACCAGGTAAACAAACATAGAGGGAGTTAACTCACCACTGGTCCTGACCTTTTTTAGGGGAGTCCTTTAGAACAAATTGAAGGACATTAAATAGGAACTCATAGCTGGATAAAGACAGAGAGATCTCTGGAAAGGAAAATTCTTGACAATTATAAATACTAGTGCTGCCTCTGTTTTCTAACTTCCAATTTTAAATTTATGTTATTGAACACACAATACATGCAGGTGTAACTTTGTGAATCTGTAACTGAGGAGGGATGGGATTGGTGCTATATAGGAACAACATTTTGATTCCTTGTTGTTTTTTTTTTGTTTGTTTGTTTTTTTGAGGAGGGGATTCTTTCACTTTTTTGTTTTTTTTTCCTTCAGAGTCAAGGATTGAACCCAGGGCCTTGTGTGTTCCAGGTGAATGTTCTACCACTGAGTAAAATCCGAACCCCAGGAGCAGCATTCTGTATGTTATTGAAGTAAGACTGTTCTTGATTGACATCAGAGTAGAATCAATTTTGCATTTCAAATGGGACCCACAAAGAAATAGTGATAATACAAACCACAAATAAAAGTGATGTGAATTAAAATATTTTGTTACAAAATTCAAAAATAAAAAATAATATAAATCATGAAGAAAATAGACAAGAAAGCCATAAAACATGTAAGAAGCAAATGACAAAAAAAGCCTTATCAAGAATTTCTGTAAGTGACAATATATCGAAAAGTCCAATGAAAAGACGGGGAGTGGCAGAATGAATAGAAAACAGGATCCAACTTGTCTACAAGAACTAATGGAGGAAGAGGATCCAGCAGAATCTGGGAAGCATGTTCTAGGCAGAGTGCATAGCAAGGACAAAAGTCCAAGGCATAAATAAACTTAGAGGGATGGAGGTGCAAGAATGCCTGAGTGTGTTTCCCCAGTGATAGAGCAGGAATGAATGGAAAGTTAGACATTGGTCAGGTCAAGGACACACTGGGAATAGGTATTCTTATTTCCAGTTTGCAGATGAGGAAACTGGGTTCAGGGAAGTTGAGCTATCCTGCTGAAGTCCTTCTCTCACACTCTGGTTCCAAAGTTCTCACTTCTCAAAACATTGAACCTGGGTCAGACTTAATGTGTTGAGTTACCCACCTCCTGGCTATCCATTTAAGATATGATTGCAACAGACATAGATATTCAGACAGGCTAATTAAATATATTTAAAAATTTAGTCCAGTCCCTCATCAAGTACATCAGTAGGCTCCCTGCTCCTGAAAATATCTTGGATCCATCACCAAACAATTTTTCTGAAACATGTAGTCAGATGGGCATTTTACTCAACTTAAATTAGACTTGAGTCTGACCTTTATAAAATCTCTCTATTTCCTATTTAAGGAAAAAACCAAGGATCCTCCATGTTATGGTTGGGTCTGAGGTATCCCCCCAAAAGCTCATGTGTGAAACAATGTAAAAAGGTTCAGAGGAGAAAAATGATCATGTTGTATGAATCTTAACCCAATCAGTGATTTAATTCCTTGATAGGGATTAAATGAGTGGTAACTGAAGTGATAGGGTGTGGCTGGAAGATGTGGGAATTGGGCTGTGTCTTTGGTGTATATACTTGTATCTGGAAAGTGGAGTCTCTTTCTCTGCTTCTTGGTCACCATGATGTCAGCTGCATCTCTCTGCCACACTCTCCTGCCATGATGTTCAGCCTCACCTCAAGCCATGAGAAATAGATGGAGCCAACCTTCTATGGATTAAGACCTCTGAAACTGTGAGCCCCTGAATAAACTTTTTCTCCTCTGTGGTTGTTCTGATCAGATCCTTTAGTCATAGAAGTGAAAAAGCTAGTCTGACTAAAACACTCTGGAATCAGGCTGAACACAACACAGCCAGTATTAGAGCAACAGGGACACATAGTGTGTTGGTCACAAAGCAGATTAGATGAAGCTGAAGAGAGCATTAGTGAACTGGAAAATCATCCTAAGGAAATTGCTCCTGATGCAACAAAGAGAAAAAAGAAAATGAAAAAATAGAAGATAGGCTCTGAAGTCCAAAGTGGTCCAGAAGCCAATCATCATCTGAGTGGTGGGGGCTGGGGAGAGAAAGAAGCATGTAAGAGAGTAAAACATGGAGCACTCTCGAAGCCTGGACTAGCTTATCCTGTTTGAAACAACATGGTCTTCCTCAGACATTCTCCATGTTCAAAGAGCTGAGTCTCCAGAGACTGTGGTAGGGAAAATAAAGGAAAGAAGATGGGAATGTATGTTAATTGAATACTACTATGTGTCACATACTGTCCTATGATCTATGTCGTTTAATCAGTCCATCAGCTTCAGGGTTGAAATCTTTGCTTCCATTCTGTCATGGAGCAGAGATTCACCATGTCTGATTTGTGTGTCCTTGGTGGTTAACACATAGATACGCACAGCAGAGGTGCTAAATAAAGACTGTTGAATATGCATGAACTCTGAAACTTGCAGAGTTCAGTGTCAGGTCAACAGTGACACAGATAGTAAGAGGAAGAGAATGGATCTGAATTTAGAATAATTTTGTTCAGTTCCTCAACTGATTTTTCATAATGCTAAGCAATGTCTATTTGCCTCCTATTATGGTTTGGATGCTAAACATTCCCCCAAAGCTTATATGTTGAAAACTTGGTCCCCAGTGCAGCACTGTTCAGAGGTGGGGCCTTTGGTAGGTGATGGGGTCATGAGGGCGGTGACCTCCTAAATGGATTAATGAATTGATAAATTTATAGCTTAATCAGCTATTGGGAAGATTTTGAAAATTTAGAAAATGGGGCCAATTGGGAGGAAATAGGTTATTGGGGGTATTCCCATGAATATTTTGTCCATGGCTCCTCCCAATCCCCACTTTCTGCTTTCTGGCCTCTATAAGGTGAGCTGTTTTCTGCCACCCCACATTCCCCACAGCTTTGCCAGAGGCTGAAATAAATGAGGCCAAGTGGCCATGGACTGAGGACTCTGAAATCATGATCCTAATAAATCTTTGTTTCTTTTAACTTGCTTTCCTCAGGTGTTTTGCCATAGCAACAGAAAGTTGACTAACACAGAAAACTACCATGAACAATGAGATCATTGCCATGACTATAGCTAACACATGGTTTAGAGGTCTTTACAACAAATTTACAGGAAGAACTTAAAAAAATTTGGAGAATAGGCTAGAAAAAAATAGACCACCACATGTGGAGCATAATACATGACTCTGATGGTCATTAAGAAGGCAAGAGTGCTGGTAGTAATGTGAGAATAAAGACTGCTGGTGAAGTTTCTGAGAGAAATGATGACTGTTGGAAATTGAACGAGATAGAGATCATTTTATATTCTGGAGAATAATTTGTCTATATTTTGTCTATGCCATGAGACACTGTGTGAGGCTGAGTTTCAAGATGACAGAATAGTTAATCTGGTGGAGGACATTTCAAGGCAGCATAGACTTTCAAGCCTGGTATTCTCAAGTCTTTTTTTTTTTTTTTTAACCAAGTTTACAGTGAGAATGAAAAACAAAAAGCAGAGAAGAAAGATTTTTAAAACTTTCATTTTGGTCAGAATCGTAGAAAATATAAATTTGGGACCAAGGTGTACACATGTGATTGCTCAAGAGATTAGGACCATTAAAGCCAAACACTTTGTACTACTAATTCTAAGGAATTGGCCATATCCCATCCATCCCAGACTCAATGAGTATAAACTCATTTTGAAAGATTTTGTTTTGAGAAGAAAGCCCGCAGGAAACCCTGTTGCCACAGGGCTGCTTAGGGAATTGTTTCATCAGCATTCCTTTTCCTTGATTCAACCATCTAGGCACTCAAAGGCCCCTGTTAGTCACATTCCAAGTGGGCCCAACTACTGCTCCCCCTAGTGGTGAACCCTGACGTCTTCCCCATGTTTTGTAGGCATGCAAAAAAGCAAGCCTTACAGGGTCATGGAGGTTTCTACCAACTTCAGAGGAAGTCCCGGGACACCAGGCAGTGTGTGGCAGGGTTGGAATCCTTAGAGGCAACCCCTAAATGGGTGATATGAGAATCTGAGCGAAGTGAAAGCATGCTCTTGCAGAATATACCAACAAGGCCTTTGGGGCAGCAGTCCAGGGTCAAGAGGAGTGGCCAGGCAAGATAGGAGGCCCACCAAGAAGAAATCAAAGCACATGCTTCACAAAGGTCGCCACTCCCAGGACAAACGCATGACCAGAGTGGATGGAATACGTATGTGCAGGTCCAGCGGCTTTTCCCTTCAGACCTGTTTATTATACTCCAAGCTAAATTTCCTTGAGTCCTATAGGTTTGTCCTAAAAAACAGTTTGAAGTGTCAATTTCTTAGTAATACAACCTACCTCACACAGTACCACCAAGGCCAAGGATGTGCCCTGAGGCAAAAGGACCTGAAAATCTAGCACCATAACTTTCTCTCCCAAAATGACAGCTTCCAAGGAAAGCATTTCTGAGTTTTATTTCTGTGTTCATACTTTCCCATACACAAGGTCACACCAGAGCCGCCACCAGTGACAATGAGATCATAATCATATGCCAAGTCTCCTCAAGGAGCTTCTGTAATAAACTACTCTGTTTACTGTAAAGTTTGGTCACCTCCACCCACATGTACTTTATTCACAAAAAAATATTGGGCACAATGTTCTCATTAGTGATTTCTGACAGCATTTCTTTAAAATCGTCCCCATCATATAGTATCTCAGCTTCCCTAGGGGAGATTTCCGCAGCCAGCTAGATGACACCACCACGTGGCTGCCTTTGTGCTGCACAAAGTATCCCAAAGTCTTTTCCAGGGAAGATTTCCTCCACTGGCCCAGTGAATACAACAATGGCCAATAGGGTGGTCCTTGGAGAGTGCAGGGAATGGGCTGTAATTATCTATATTTTTGATAGAATGCCTTGTCCTTTGGTTTAGATAATCATGGTCATCATGGCTAGAGTCAGAAGCAGAACTCAGGTTCAGCTGAGATGATTGGCATACCCATATTTAGATTGGCTTTCATTCTGCGTGATTAGCCAAAATCTACTCTGACTGGAAAGTCTATGAGTTATTAAGTATTCTGAATATTGCTGTAGATATAAGGCAATCATGACAGTTTAGATTGGGTTCAGAAAAAGAGAAACATGTATAAAGTGAGGGAACCGAAAACTTTGAAGGGCAGAGTAGTATCATCTACCATTTCAAAACAGGTCTACTGAGATAAAATGATTCTATGGTTTACAAACTCAAAACATCCTTGTTATCAATGTAGCATCTTTTTATTCATATTTAGTTATTTAACACATACTTACTGAACACCTTTTTTGACAGTGACTGCTTACCGAAAGGCATTTCTTGTTCTTGGTCATAGCTATACATTCCTCTGTTCCCTTTGTAAATATTTACCTCCATGGGACTAGACTCTACTATGATATGATGGAGATGGAGAGGCACCTGAGATACCTTGAAAACTGTGGGTTTAATATGGCAAAATGATTGTCATCCTGCATGATAACCCCCCACTGAGGACCCATGTGCCCTTTATTCCCACCTCACCATCAAACCACCATAAGTGGGCACGAATTAAACCTCTGTTTTATTAGGCAACAGTGTTTTGCTCTATTGTTAGAGTGGCCTAGAAATACACAAATTAGTGTAACCTAGGTTATAGTGTGATTTTTTTTTTTAATAAAAAAGACTCTGCTGTCTAAACCATAAATGTTTATTTCTTGCTCATGCTACTTGACCATTGAGGGATGTCTGAAGAATCTTCTACCACTGTGTTCACTCTTTCACCCTTTTTCTGGGTCCCGGCCTTGTGAAGCATCTACTGTCTGGTTAATTACTGATCAGACCAACAGAGAGAAGAGAGTTTTATATCAACTACTAAATAGTCAGCCAAAGAGTTACATGCATTGCTCCACACCACAACCCATTGGTCAGATGTGGTCATATGGCCCCAGTCAAGGGCAGGAATTATGATGTACCATGTGCCTGCAAGCTGGATGGCTATGATTCAGGGTACCATTAAAAACCACCTTGGCTGTCTTAATGATCTAAAATGGGCTGCTATTGCCAGACTATGGTAAATGTTCATGTTTAAAGATAAATATGTTATAGTTCCAATTGGATAACTTCACAATCATTTTTCTTCTAAATTTGGGGTGAGCATTATCTGGATTTGAGGATTTTCTATAAAATTTTTGGAACAAAGAGTACATGTATACTAACTCATTTATTTCTATCAATCATATTTACCGTGTATCTATTTAGTACCTTTATTTGTCCTGGGAGCTATGGGAAATACAATGATAAAATTGGCATGGATTCTGCACTCAAAGGAAATGTTTGTTGTCAGACCTCCAAACTATTGCCATTAAATCTCCCTGATCATGTTCTCAATAAAACGAATGCAGATATTTCGTTTGGTCACTTTGCTCTTACCATGTGAGTGTCAAGGGTTAAGCTGGAAGAATGGCTGCCTGTTTCCCAAGACAACTGGTGAGCTTCCCTGCTGGCCCTATACCATTTGGTCCTTAGCCATTGGCTCATTTTTGAGGTGATGTAATCAACCTATGCATGGCATTAGCTTCCAGAAAGACGAAAGGCAGGGGGCGTAAGGATGCAAACAATGTTCTGATTATCATTCTTCAGAGTCCCAGGCTCTATGATGTATTTTTAGAAACTTTGTCCAATCTGCAAGCTTCTTTGAAAGATAACAGCATATTTGTTTATTAACCATGTTCTATGGTGCCCAAGGATTAAGAGGAAGGTGCTCCAGAGACAGCCCCACCGGGAATCTTCAGGTCCTCTGCTTTAAATTCAGCCAGATAGCTTCACTTTTGGCTGATTTATGTACTAAAATTCTACATTCTATTATTAGAAAGATTTCACTTCTTAAAAAAAAATTAGATGACCTAATGAGTTGCTATTTCAAAGCATTGCTGGGAACCCAAGAGAATGAACAAACTGCTTTCCTAGGAGATTCCAGACTTTGAGATCTGGACGGGGACTTTAAGTCATTCAGAGTCTTTGGAGAGAGCAGCTTCAGTCTATGGTTCACTATGTCATTTGGAAAGTGCACACAATCTCAGCCTAGACTTCATTCCCTCCTCAAAGAAAACATTTATCCTGATGCCTTGCAAACAGTAGGTGATCAAAGAGTGTTGGTAGAAGGAACAAAGGAAAGAATTAGGATGAGTCTTCTATGTCATGGACATGGAGAACAAAGCTCAGCCTGGTGATGGTTTTGTTTCAAGGTCACACAGTAAAAATAAAGACAAAGTTAAGAGAAAACCCTAGGACTTCTTATACTGAATTATGTCATGTTGACCCCCAAACAGCAATAAAAATATTCACACTGAACCTTTCACTTCCTGTCCATACACACCCTAATGTGGTAATGCAGAGAAAGTCCGAATTCCATTAAAGTGATCAAGGCCCTTATCCTTCTGCTGTTTCCGTTACTACAAGATGTGAAAGAAGCCCCTCTTTTGCCCTCCTTTTCTCCCTCGTAAGCCTGGACCCTGGAGGGCAGCTACGCTGTTGAGCAGCAGTAATGTGTGGAGGTGTTGAGCAGAGAACTTGGGAGTTTAAGGACAAGCTGTGCCAGGGTTAGGTTGTTCTAGTTTCTCCTTCCTCCGTGCTTTTCTTTGCATCACCAATGATGTTATTTATGGAATGCCAGTATGTTTCTTTTTTTAATTAAAAGGAGAAAAATATCAGTCTTGCATAAGAAAAAGAGTGATGACTCAACAGGATTGCTCGGTGCCAAACGATTTTCTGTAATCGCATCTGTAGCAGTGTTTCTTGCAAAGGCAGCCTGTGGGGGGTGGGGGGTAGTGGTGAGATTGCTCCCTGGGCTGCCTCTCTGTCCATGAGGCTCATTCCTAACACAGCCCAGGGTGCCTGACAGGTCCATAGTCCTGAATTCTGGCCTGGTGAAACTAAGCTGATTTTTGAACAGAGGGAAGATAAGCTGGCAATATAATGCAATTTATGCTGAATCATCTCTTAGATAATCTAAATATTAGACCTTTTTTGCATTATAACATATCAGAGGACCATTATTTTTAAAATGACAAATTACCTTGAAACTTACCTATTTTAACTCCTTCTTCTGACAGGTAAGGAAACTGAGACCCAAATCAATTTGACAAGGATTTAGTGACCTTTCACTAGGTATAAAGGATTGTATTCAGCATGTTGGACCCCATGACTTTTCAAAGACCCACAACTTATGGGTAACAGGCAGTTAAAAGGTAACTGCCTTTACTCTCATTCAAGTCTTTATTCTACCCAGCAAATCTCAAGTTTGGGTTATTGTCACAACTATCATGCTGTCTATAGAAATTCCATACTGGTCTGTAAATGAGTGAGTGTGTGTGTGTGTGTGTGTGTGTGT